AATATTTTATTTCTCTCTTTTTTCTCTTCAAAATAACGATGAACCTGAAAGTGAAGCCATTTTATTTGCCCCTTGCCCGGCCGTCTCGATCAAATTTCTGTACGAACCTCACAATATCATGTACTCCATGAATTTTACAAAATTTTGTTGGGCAAATAACTTAATATTTTCATGTAAAATCTTCAACTTTATTGCAAATTTTTATTGTACATTTTCATCAGAGTATGACGATAGTGACGATAAATGGCCGGGCAATTAGAGTTATAAGTACACTGATAGAAATATGGTTCGCCTGGCAGAAACGGAGCCGTTTCTACGGGCAAAACGGAGCCGTTTCTACGGGCGAAACGGAGTGGTTTCTACGGGCGAAACGGATCATTACATCATACCGCACTGCCGACACACACTCATGCGCGCACATACTGTAACAACAGTTGGAAAATGTATACAAACAAAAACATAACCAACAGCGTAGAGCGTGCCAAAACTCAAAGTTCGACTGCTACGGCAGGTAGTCGGTAGCATATGTGGCAGTTCGGGGGCGCTGTGCAGCGCTCGCAACTCGCAAGGCCAAAAAAAGACAAAGTCGGTAGCATATCTTCTGTCTCTCTCCGTTTCGTGTGCTGTGACTCGTGCCATGAGTCTGCTACTGTTACATCAAAAGCGTATATGTACAAGGAAGTGTAAAATACTTATCAAATGCAGCTTTATTTGTTGATTTTCACCTTTTCGTGGAGATGTCCAACTGCTGGTCCAACTATTGAAACACTTAACCTACAATAGTACCAAACTGTTGTGATGAGTACATGTGACCTGTAAACAGTAGCAGACTCATGGCACGAGTCACGGCACACGAAACAAAGAGAGACAGAAGATATGCTACCCACTACCTGTGGTAGCAGCCGAACTTCGAATTTTGGCACGCTCTACGGTGTTGGTTATGTTTTTGTTTGTATACATTTTCCAACTGTTGTTACAGTATGTGCGCGCATGAGTGTGTGTCTGCAGTGCGGTATGATGTAATAATCCGTTTCGTCTGTCGAAACGGATCCGTTTCGCCCGTAGAAACGACTCCGTTTCGCCCGTAGAAACGGCTCTGTTTCGCCCGTAGAAACGGCTCCGTTTCTGCCAGACGAACCATATTTCTATCAGTGTACAATTAAGTTTACTATGATTTTTACCATTGATACTATCAATTATTGAATTATTGTATTGCGAACTTTACAGTGTGTTCATGTGAAGTGTGAAAAATGGCCTTGACTTACACCATCTTATTTTGCAAAAAATTTGATTTGATTCAACATTACGCGCAAGTTTTACTTCAGAGTACAAACTCGAATATAAAAGCAAAGCAGATTACATGTTGTTTTTCATCTTCTATATTATCTACTTAAATAAGAACAAAATAAACATTCCTTTTCGTTGTTCTGAAAAAATTTGAGCAAAGATTTGCCTTTTGTTGTGAGATTTTGTTATTTCTGAGAAGATTTTGTTTTAATCTGAATTTCTAAGATGATATTTATGCAATTTGCTTAATATATAAGGCTTAGTAAGATTTGTTTTTTGTCCAAATGCTTTTTGGCATAGTACAGATTCTTGAGATTTTAATTTACCATGTACCGTAGCAATATTCATTTCCTGATAATTTTGCAGTTTAAATTGCTTGGGACAGATTTTGCATTTGAATGGCCCTTATGCAGCTTATCGATATGCGCCTGAAAATTATTTTTCAGTCCAAATGCTTAGTGACATATTTTGCTACTATCATACAAAATAATACATAAAAATCGCTAAGTAAAGCCGATTAATTTTATTGTATTTTAAAAAATGTCAATGGTCGAGCTATTATTAATATCAAACCTTTATATTCAGTTGGAAAGTTTTAAAAATTTCTTTTAATTATATAATTTTAACTTATTAAAAAAAAAATTCTAGAACGAGTCGATTCTAATGCTGGTCGAAAAACTTGACTTCATCGATTCAATACTTACGATAGCTTAACATTTTCCAGCTTCTCTTTGAGTCGAATATATCCCAGTAATATTACGAATTTATGCATTCAGTAATTCTCTCGCGCCATCCGTTCAATCCGCACGCGAAAAAAGCACCGATTTTTTTTCTCTGAAAATCTGTCGCCCATCAGCGCTTTACAAGTTTAATTGCCATGAAATATACCGAGGCTCTCTAGGCTCTCTCTCTCTCTCTCTCTTTCCCAGTCTCGTTGATCGCTCGCTCGCATGTATAGGCTTGAGTCGCCGCCGCACAGTAGTGCCCGTAGTCGAAATCGGTAAAAGTCACAAATGCTAGTGTACGCATACACACAAGCGCGAAATATTCGGGCGCCGCACGTCCCGCATAGAAACGTGATTCGCGTGTGAAGCGCCAATTAAGCCGCGCGATGACTGCCGTGTTGGTACGCGTCGTATAATATACGCAGTGCGCGAATACACGAGCCTCGATCATCTACGTCCATCAGTTTAGACCGAAATGAAATTGATTTCGCGCAGTAGAGTGTAGAGCCTCGGGCGTCGATCATTTTTTTTTTATCTCGCTTATCGTGGGCCACGCGAGAGTTTTCATAGTCATCTTTTCGTATTCGACTGTATTGTTGGATCGGACTACTGAATTTTTTGATATGGTTGCGGTCACAAAAATTTGCGCTTCTTTTTCACGACTCCCGTGCAGAGCCTACTTAATTAAAGAAATTTCTTAATCTCACTTTGACTTATACAATTATTTCGACTTAGCCAGTTGTGGATTTACAGATATGTAGGTACTCGCCATCTAGTGGTGACAGCCTTAACGAGGGGTTTTAAAATAGTTTACTAATTGTCATTTTTAGGATATTTAATATGTCTTTAGGAATTTCAACCACCAAAAAAAGTCACTTAATCGTATCGTATTTTAAAAAATGTCCAATTATCACTATTTGGTCACCAGGCCATCATTAATATTGAAAATTTCTACCAGAAAAGTGTATAATATAATATAATTTCTATATTAAACTAACAGTGCGACCTTCGAGATCCACACACAGGACTGCAAAAAATTGCACTCTTACCGCGTTCCGTTTTTTTTTCTTGCAGTCCTTATATTCACTCGATGAAGCGCATTCACTGCCGTTGCATGACTCGGTGATATATACGTAAGTAAATAAATACGCATGTACTCCGCGTGTGCTCTTCGCGCAAAGAGAGACACTTCAACGTTATTATATCAGTCCTACAGTTGAAAAAAAAAAAAAAAATTAAAAAAAATACAGGCACGATATTGTTAGAGAAATGCCCTCGCGAATATTTGTAAAGTGATTTTGTAAGTGTATATTAAATGCAGCTGCTGCGAAAGAGAGAGAGAGAGAGAGGAGCCATCGTCTTACTGACCTCAATTCTCGCACTGTTTACCTTTGTTTTCTTACGGCGAAATAATTCGGACTCTGCTGCTGCTGCTGCACTTTTTCAATAATAACGTTTTCGACCTTATCCTCGAGTGATGAAAAGAAGAAGAAAGAAGAAGAAAAAAAAAGAAAGCGAGCGAGACTCTGACCTAATCGTTTCGAGTGCTGCCATAATACGCGTGGGTGTAAGATTTCTCGAAGCGTGCGCGCTGTGCTTTGTTTACGGTCTCGACTTTTGCAGTCTCGAAATGACTCTCGTGACGTCGATCAACGATGAGATTTATAATACGATTCTCTCTCTACTCGCGATAAATAAAATTCAATTTCGATCCGCTAATAATTCGATTCACGCGATATTTACTCCCGTATGCATCCAGCGCGAATTGATAATCCTTATACCCTCGCGCGCGCTAAACTAAATTTCATTTCGAATTTTCATCAAATTTTTTTTTTTTTTCGCTCGTCGATGAGAATGCATCTCGCCGCGTCATACATGAAGGGGGAAACTTTATATTTCAATCGGCGAGTTTAATTAAATTTTTGCGTCCCCATTAAGTGCGGGGTGGCGGAACAAGTTACAAATGGCCCAGAAAAGTGTGTGTGATACAGCTCGAAGTTTCATTTTTATCGAAATGAAAAAGTTTTTTGTTAAAAAGCAAAAGTGTCGAGCTACTGCTACTGCAGTGATCTAACTTTACTATGCGACTAGCTAACGCGGGGTTGCTGGTGGTGGTGGTGTTAAGTCGAAATTCTCTTTTTCACGCTAAAGCGAGCTTTATGACACGCGCGCGCGGCAGCCTGGCACTGCACAGTGCACAGCTCGCAAATAGGGAGGACAAGGTGCTGCTGGTGCTGGCCCCCTTTTCTTTTTTTTTTTAAAGCTCGTGCTTGCGTAACCTTTTGTTCTCTTTTACCACGTGTCAATATAATACGCCCATATTGTTCGCCACTGCAGCGCCCGGCACACTTAAATATCTTTGCCGCGCAGCAGCAGCGTAGCTGTTCGGGCTTTTATGACTCTGCTGCCGCTGCTGCTGCTGCTGCTGGCCCTTACCAGATTTTCGTGTCGAGCGGGTCGACGTCTCTTTTTTTTTTCATTTTTTTTTGTTCGTATCAAAAAATACCCACCCCTCCGATTACTCGTTTTGAATTTCGTAAGAAATTTTTTGCTCGAGATACGTATGGGTGCGATTCGTTAAAATCGCGTTTTAGAACAATTTTTTTTCCACTTTTCCAACTCTTTTTTACCCATGAATACGTGAGATCGAGGTTGCGGCGTGATATACACACACAGCGCAGCAGTAGTAGTACGTTAAAGCGAAAAAAAAACCGGAATAAAAAGAAGACTAAAAAAAGGAGAGAGAGAGAGAGAGAGGAGGGCAGTGTTATGACTATGTGCCGCTTTGCTCGCGCGCGAAAAGCTGACGCGCGGCGCGTGATGAAGGCACCAAGATGTGTGTACCTATCCTACACACGATGCGCCATATATATATATACCACGTCGTACCGTTGCTGCCGCTGTCGCTGAGGGGAGGTGGTCCTCCTCTCTTCCAATATATAAGACGCCTCGACCGATCGATCACGCGCCGTTTTTCTTATCAACTCCTCGCGCGAACGTCTCGCCGCGCTGTATCCATTATATACGTATAGAATAATAGAGAGAACAAAAAAGTTTGAGGATCAAAAGCTGTGCGCAACCTATATATCGAGTGTTCTTCTTTTTTTTTTCATCATCGTCGTTCTTCTATGCGATGCCGATGAGGTTTAACCTTGAGGACGAATAATTGATTTTTCTTTACGGGTATCGCCGTCGCCGTCGTCGTCGTCATGGGTGCTGTGATACGACAGATTGTGAGTAAGGGTGTTATTGTTTTGGAGTTTCAGTGTGTTTGTTCAAAAAAAAGTGAAAAAATTGTGATGCGTAACAAGTGACGTTTTTGTGAAATACATAATAAAGCTTCGAGTTATTACAATTCGATAAGATTCAGTCGAAATTACATCTGTGCCATAATTTCAAATTTCGATTTCTCTCCTCGCTAAATTTTTTTGCCTTCGGAAAAAAAACTTAATCACAAAAAATATAAGTCGCCTGCAATTCTACGAACATATAGCTGCTACAAGCGAAGATGCTAGGACGCGCGCATAACAGATCTTTGTTTTCATTAAGAAATCGCGTCACAATGCGTTAGGAGTAATAAACTTCGTGTTGTGCATATAGCCTCTCTCTCTCTCTCTGCACCGCGATAAATAAGAACGAGAGAGAGAGAGAGACGGCGAGGGCAAGTTTGAAAGCGACGAACGAAACTCTACGTTTCGTTATATACGTAACGTACATTTGTGTGCGCGCGTATACGAACTGCGTTGGCAAGCGTCGAAGAGCAAGTTTCCAAGTATCTCCGAGGTGTTGTAACTTATATACACACACACACGTATATTCGCGCAGACAATACGCACGACGCAATATTTAACCAAGGCATCCGCTCTTTCTCTCTCTCTCGTATGCTCGCTTCGTACTTTGAAAGCAGAGGCGCACTCGCTCGGGCGCTTAATTACTTTAACGCTACCCTCCTAATCGTTACCGAAGGCGAGAGAGAGAGAGAGAGAGAGTAAAAGAGCAGTAGTAGCAGCAGCAGCAGGCGACTAAATACTCATTTGTAAGACTTGATAGCGAAAAAAAAAGTAGTAGTAGTCGAATATATACGGGTGGTTCGCAACGCGCTCGCAGCAGGGAGGCATTTTTTTTTATTCTCCGTTCCGAGCTCTCGTTGTAATATTGTTTTTTTTTATTGTTGTTGTCCTCTGTGCAGTGGGACCGTAACGCGCAAGAGCTATGGATCTACGTGGGCCTGATCGCGCTTCTGCTGGCCGCTTACCTCTTCAAGCGCCACATAAGAATATTTTGGACCGTATTGAAGCTGCACGGCCCGCCCATCTATCCGTTCATCGGCAACGCCAATTGGCTCTATCGCAAAGACAGTGAGTGTATTTTTATAAAATATATATCTGGTCGCGTGTAATTTTTGCAAATGAGAGATAAATTAGCGCTTAAAAATGCTGAAATACTCGTGAGAGTTTGAACATTAAATAAAAAATTGTTTGCGTGTCATTTACATTGATAGTTTAAGGCAAATTGAATTTGATCGTACTTAATTGTTATGGCTAAAGTCAAAAGTTTCCTTTATTCCGTTCGATCAACTTTTTGTCCTCCCCGACTTGACAAAAAGCCAACGATTAGCTTTTTTTTTCATCCCGAAAATTGCTCGACGTTCTCGCTCGATCGCGCTCGTTATCATAAAACGATTTGCGTCTCGATTATCGACGTTACACTCATAAAAGACCGTATAACAACAGCGACCCATCGGTATAATTTTCACCCGCAGTTCTCGAGGTAATGGCTTACAAAGCCTACAAGGATTACGGCTCGATCGCTCGATTCTGGATCACTCTGATCCCCTACGTGGTCCTGCTCGAGCCCGAGGACATTCAGGTCGTGCTCGCGAGCTCGAAGAACACCAAGAAGATCGTGTTCTATCGTCTGCTCGACAATTTCCTCGGCAAGGGCCTGATCACGAGCGAGGTCGACACCTGGCGGACGCACAGGCGCGTGCTGCAGCCGGCCTTTCATCTCACGGTGCTGCAGAAGTTCGTCGACTCGTTCTCCGAGTGCGCCGATCGGCTGTCGAGCAAGTTGGCCAAGTGCGCGGGTAGAGAGCTGGACGTCACGAGATTCGTCAACGACGCCGTTTACGAGATCTTAAACGGTATGTATGTATCGTGTTGTCGTCCGATGTGATTGAAAAAAAAAACAAAAACTTTTATTCGTATCTTCGGTTCTAATGATTGTTTTTTTTTTGTAACAGAGACCGTTTTGGGAGTCGACATAGCACAAAAGGTCAGAGAAGACGGCACGGTCGATCTCGATGATTTACCATTTCGCAAGTGAGTACATATATTTCGATAAAAATCGAAACGCAACATAAATTGTACAGTTGCAACGTGTGTACACTTCCGTTCCGACGAGAGACACGAGAGTTTCCATCCAGTCACGAAAATACACGCTCCTCAATGACGCACTCATTGATTACTTTGTGTAAAACAAATGTCATGCGATAGATTTCTGCTGAACAAATATATCGTCCGAGGCTCGTTTTTGTGCACAACAAACACGTGAACCTATTTTTATTATATTTCTTCTTCTGTCGTTACGCTTCCTTCGATGAATTTATATGGAGACGTAACGATCTCGTTGCTGCGTTGAAATTTTATGTGCATAATTTATAAATATATATGCGAAAAGAGAAATATTTTCTGCGCGCGCGCGCCGAAGAGCATCGCGCGGGAGCTAGACTTTTAAAATCTTGTTAAGCTCGAGTGTTTTTCTTGCGGTGCCGCGCGCGCGCACGATGACGTTCGCATTAAAGCGCGCTCGCGCTACTAACGATTTAAGTAGAAAGACACAAAAAATTAAAAAAAGCAGTTCGATTGTGTCTGTGTGTGTATCATTAAGATCATTATTTTTTTTTGTTTTTTGAGCGAATAAATTAAGCGTCGTTGGCGACAATGTGCTCTCATTTGGCTCGTGTTTTGCCGAATTTGTATCGACTCGAGTTGATAATGAAAAGAAAAAAGAAGACTGCGCGTTGTTGCGTAAAATTATGTAAACTTTTTACAATGCCAAAGTCTAGAATCCTGTAGAAATGTTCAATATTAATAATGAGCTAATGACTGAACAATGACTGTTTACAATTTTTAAAAATGTGTTACCATTAATTGGCTTGTTTTTGGCAATGTTTATATTACAATTATTTTACTAATAATGTAATAAGTGCATTTTAAAAGGTTTGAAAATAAAAATTCTATTATTTCAACATATTTCGAGATCGGTTTTCAAACATTTTGAATATGATATTGACATGTTTCAAGACTCCACCGCTAGATGGCGATTACTTTAAATCTGCAAGTGGTAAAATGCCAATAGTTGTATAAGTCAAAATCCATTTTTCGTTACTATAGAATTCAGCATTTTTTAAACTGCCATTTACCATGTTATTTAAATAGGGAAAAAGCTGACGTGTGTGGCACTATTTCGAGTTAACTTATCGAGTCCGGACAGAGATTTTCTTTCATTGTAACCCAAACGATGAGCTTTTAAGTGGTGAGAGCGAGGATTTGAGCAATTCGGGAAGTAACGGACAGTCTAGTGTACACATTTGATTAGTACATGTACATTAAATAGAAATTTTCTACACTTCTAATAACCCTTTTGTATCGATGAAACTTTTCCGCTGGGTGAAAATCACTCCCCACAAAATAGGAAATCGGCTTTAGAGTTATGAGCCAAGTTTTTACTCTCTACCGCATTTTCAGAGGGCAAATGGTCGTGCCGTACCGTCTCATTCATCCGTGGCTACTAGTCGATTGGATCTACCGACTGACCACGACGGGCCGTCAAGAGAAGAAGCAGAGCCAAGACCTGACGGCCGCCTGCCAGCGCATGATCGACGAACTTCGCAGAAAGAAACAATCGTCCTCGTCTTCGGAAAGCAGCAGCAGCAGCGGTCCGACGTTGGAAAACGAGAAGGAGAAAAAGACGTCCCTGCTCGAGTACATGCTCGAGCAGAGCGAGAAGAACCCGGAGGGTTTCGGTGACGAGGACATCATAAACGAGTGCTGCACGTTCATGCTGGCGGGCCAGGACTCGGTGGGCACCGCCACCGCCATGAGCCTCTTTCTGCTGGCCAAGCACACCGAGTGGCAGGACAAGTGTCGCGCCGAGCTCGACCAGATATTCGCCGCCGACAGCGGCGGCGGGGATCCCGCGAGACCCGCCACCATGCAGGATCTCAAGGCCATGAGGACGCTCGAGTGGTGCATCAAGGAGGCGCTCAGGCTCTATCCGAGCGTGCCGCTGTTCGCCCGTACCCTCGGCGAGGATGTCACAGTCGGTGAGTCGGGATTTTAATTTTCGAATCGATGTAATCGATATACATTTTCAACGATATAATTAAACGCACTGCGGTAAAACAAAAAGCTACCTCTACATCCTTCTCTGTCTCTCTCTCTGCAATTACAGCCGGCAAGCACGTGATACCGTCGGGCTGCGGGGTAATTATACTGCCGTACACGACGCACCGGCTGCCCCATCACTTCCCGGAGCCGCACAGCTATCGCCCGGAGCGCTTCAGCCCCGAAAACTCCGAGAAGAGGCATCCCTACGCTTATTTGCCCTTCAGTGCCGGACCGCGCAATTGCATCGGTAATTACACGTCTTTCCCGAGCTACACGGAGAATGATGATGATGATGATGACGATAAATTTTCCAAGCTTGAACTATAATCTTCTTTATACTTTGTTTAATGCGTCGAATTATCCTTTTTTTGTTCTAGGAAACAAATTCGCGATACTGGAGATGAAGGCCATGATAAGCTCGATACTGAGGAAATGCAAGCTCGGCACGATCGAGGGAAAGACCGAGGTGAAGCCGAAATTTCGTCTGACCGTCAGGGCGTCCGGCGGGCTCTGGGTGACGGTCAATCAGCGATGATGAATAATCTTAAGTTTACGCAATAAGAGATAATTGTTAAATGACCCAAGGTAAAGGTATGCATTTATACCGAACGTTTTTTTTTGTTACTTTTTATGAATTTTTGTACAATAACAACGCGAAATATCGTTTCACACACGCAAATTATGTACAGTGATAATCGATGTCTTTTTGTTTTTAAGTTCAAGGCGAGCGTTGTGAATTGCTATAAGTGCCAGTAACTTTAAAAAACCCACAAAATCAATCATAAATTCAAATTATAAAAAGAATCAATTGTGCAGATCGCAGGAGTATCTGAAGCGGTGGCTCCATTGTTAATTTTATTGCAAAAGATATTGATTTAATAATCCTTATATTATTAGTACAAAGTTATCCAAGAATAGCGTCGACTTATAAATATATTAATCCTCTTATATAGTGGTATGAAGTGTATAATGATTGCTCGATATCGTTTGCAAACTGAGTATACTAAAATTAAATTTCAAATTAAATGATCTGCTCGAGGACTTGCGAATTAAAAAATTGAAATGATAAAATTTTATATTTATTATATTGTTATCATAATTTGAATATGCTCGAAGTTCCTTATATTATTTTCGTCATGAATCAGATATTGATTCACTAATGTTCTCTAGTACATCCCTGGTAGAAAGAAATGCTCAAAATGAATAATTAATCAATGACCGAACAATGACTACTTAAAGTGTTTCTAAATATATTGCGATCATTGGCTTATTTTAACAATTTTTTTTTGTACAATTATGTTAAAAAATATTAAGCTCATTTTTAATAACCTAAAAATTTATATTTTTGATCACTTGCAATATGTTAATATCACTTCAAGCCGCTGGATGGCGAGTACCTTTATCTGCAAATCTGCAAGTCGTAAAGTAAAAAAAATGTATAAATCGAAAATGTTCATATGGTCAGTTCATTAAATTCATGTTCATCCTATCTTAATTTGTGAAAATTTTTCATTGGTCAAAAATTAGCCTTAAAATTTTGAGCGTTTCTACTAATGAAAATATTTTTATGTACATGGATTTGTTTTAAAATTGGCAAGATATATTCTATCGCATTTTTATTCATTAAGAAATAATTTGATTATTTCAAATGGTAAAAATCCTTTGTAATCGCAGTATTTTTAATATATTAAATGTACGTCTTACAATTTGCAACACTCTGTTAATATTATAGAATTATAACAAATTATTTGAATTGAAATAAGTGAATTTGTAACAAGCAAACAAAATTTGTAATATCTAATTGTAATTTCTGTAAAAATATGCTTCGTTGAAAAATTAAAAATTTTTTTTATAAATATCTTCTGATTTTACAAAAGCTCTAATGCAATATGATAGCAGTGAAACTTAACAAACAATAAATTTTTTTTGTTTTAATGATTTACAAAATGATCATTGTTCCTAGAAAATTGTATAGATTTTATTGAATAGTTTTCCATCGACGGTAATGAGTAAATTCACATCAATCTTTTCAACTATTAAATATTTTTAACTATTTTCGTAACTACGCGAAAGTACATTTCTTTTCCAAAGCATCACGAAGGCAAACAGTATAAGAAAACACGCATAAATCTACTCGGCCTAATGAACGATGTCTGCTTCGAGTCAGTCTCAGTCACATCAAGTATGTAAATTCCCTTGACAAATAAAGGAGCGCGCGCGAATCTAGGAACACATACATACATACAGGGTTAACGCGCGACAATGCGCCGATCCCAAGAAACGACAACGAAATTGCTTATGTGTACTACAGTCTGCGTGGAATGAGATCTGTTCGGAGCGATAAATCAATATGCCCTCGCGCGCGTCTGCGTAAGTCATATATGTACGTAGTTCGCGAGCTCCTGTTTCTCGATGCACCTGACTTTTCATTACCTTTTTATTCATTTCGAAATCGGAAATTTTATACAATATTAAGAGTTATTGTATTGGAAATGGCAACATTTAAGTTTTCATCGAGTGTTTAATGTGTGAGTAAATTTTTATGACCGAAAAATGCGCAACTTTGCCTTTTAGTTTTTAAATTCTTATGCTATAAAATATTGTATGTAACTTGTATGAATAAGCTTTATCAATCTAACTCGTTACTGCACTACCCTTTTCTGTAATCTCTCATTTTGCAAAAAGGCGTATCTACCGCTAATAGTTACATTTTGAGATAATGGATCCCTTTCAAACTGTTTAATAGCCAATATTACTGTAACTCAACAACGAGAGGTAATACCACAACCCATGCAAATACAGGCACGGTAACGGAAGTTTCACTTCAAAAGTCGACGCTATATAAGCTCCATAGAGGAGCATTGCAGCGTGGTCGGGCGCGCGCGCATCGTGCAAGCGTAATTGTGCGCGAGGAGCAGCAGCAGCAGCAACACACGGGGGCAGAGATTGCGAGGGGGGTAGAGTTCCGTATATGGCATATGCAGAAAGAGGCGCACAGTACGTATTATATACCTATATACGGGCCAGGAGTAGAGTAAAGAGTATAGAGTGCAAGTATATATATGCGGCGCTGAGAGAGTAAGAGAGAGAGAAAGGAAAGGGTAGTGGTGGGAAGCTGCGCGCGCGAAAATCCGGCGTGCGCGCGCGGATACATAGCTCGGCGCTCTCGAGTGCAGCAGTCAGCGCAGCAGCAGCAGCAGCAGCAACCTAGAGCCTTCAACCCCCGTGTGCTCTCGAAGCGCCTAGGCAGCAGCGCAGCGGCAGTAGTCAGTCGAACGCGCGAGCTCGACTTTGTCGGGAGTCCAACCCTCATCTACCCTCCGCGCGCCTCACGAAACCGCATCGCTGTATACGAGCGAGTAGTAGTCGAAGTCAAGAGGCCAAAAAAGCCGCGCACCGCGTACAAGTAGTAGTAGCTGTACCGGTTGTACCGGGGCGAGCTTTTATTCGATAATGACGACGACGATGATTATAAACTAGTATTGTTAGAGACGAGTGCATGTGTGATTGACGGAGTTACTAAGTTGTGGGATTAATGATAACAACGAGAGGAGTGCACGACGTATAATACAGTGACAGTTGCTTTGCAGTTTTAGTTTGGAAATTGATACAAATATATTTGGTAAATTGTGCACCGAAAACTGGACGATTTGTGTATTGGTTTTAATTGGAAAAAGTACAACGATTACAAGAAAGCGCAATGGCAGCCGGTCTTTCTGTGATTGAACATGTGAGTATTGTAATATGTAAGAAATTTCGAGCTTTTTTTTAATACTCGAAAGATGGGAAAATTATTATATCGTGATAACTGAAGCAAAAGAAAATGGAAAAGTCATTACATTTTTTCCTCATTCTCAATTCAATCGACTATAATTCCCGATCGTTAAATGTCTCTCGCGTTATCTCTCGCAAATTGACACAGTATATAGTCTCTTCTCGATCGCTCCGTACTCTCATTATCCGTGAGTTCAATTTTGCCGAGATATTTCGAAAAAGCGCGGAAGTAACGTCGTAGTAAACACGAGGGAAGAAGGGAGCGAGCCCAGTATATAGATAGTAATGTCAACGGACGAGCGCGGGAGGACGCATTCGGTAAGAGGAATCGAGGACTAAACTTATATTATACGTATACGTATAATATAAATGTCATCAACTCTCTTGGCAATGGGCATATCGTAAAAAATAATGCCTCCTGCTGCTGCAAAATAATGAGGTAGGAGCAGACGGGGGCAGGAAAAAAGAGAATAGGATGCATGGCGCGTTAGAAGGAGAGATGGTTATGGCAGGGATAGATACGTATAATGTAAATGCAGTCGCGCTGGATGGATGGATGGATGGATATAGGAGGAATGAATAGAGATGGATAGAGATGGATATAGAGAGAGAGACACGATGAGCCGCGGGGAGAGAGAGAGGATAAAATGAGAAACAGAATAAAAAAGAGGATGAAAAAAAAAGAAGTAACGAGGACAGAGCATAACGTCGGTGGTGGTGGCGCGTATATATATAGAATATTTTTCCTCGTGGAATTGGCGGCGGTACACACACGTATAACTGTATAGCTGTAGCAGCAGCAGCAGCAGCTCTTCGGTGCAAGTAATTATTCTCTCGGGGATATTCCGGCTCACGTTTCGCGCGCCGTATTCTCGGCGAGAGAGAGAGAGCCAAAAGTGCATAAGATGTTTCTCTCTCGCCGCCCCTGAGTAGACGTAGTAAGTAATATGCAGCTTATGCGTGTGTATGTAGAAACTTGTCACACACAGACACTTACGACCGATATGAGTATATCCCGGGTGCATGACATAGCGCCAGAGCCAGAGCTGCTGCACTGCCTGCGAGTCTTGAGCAGCAATTATCGTCTTTGTATTTAAATGAGAACACAAGCCAGATGAAGCAGCAGCAGCAGTAGCAGCACATGATGTAAGCTTTATAACCACCACTACCAGCGCAATTCCGCTCTGTTACGCGCTCACGGGAGCATCACCCATCCCCCCGTGTGTGCACATGTATGTGCTGCTGCTGCTGCAACGTCGCATGCGGTTTATTTCACATGCTACGGACTTTCTCTCTCTCTGTCGGCATTGTTTTCTTTCCGCAATTTTTCCGCCGCTTATACATGTACTTTGCTACTTTTTTTTTCATGGTCAATTCCCTCGTGTGCGCGCGAGGAACCCGGCCAAGTCCTCTTTCCATCCCTCCTCCCTCCGCGCGCCTAGATTAACGGTTAGAGCTTGCCGCTGACTTTTCACGTCGGATTTTATCATGAAATAATATGTTGCGAGTTCTATGCCTGGCACGTGGTTGTATATTTGTTGTAATAATAATTGGGAATATTTTAGTTCGAATTGTGTACATGATGTATTTAAAGCTTTTATGCACGGAGAGAAATACTATATTAAATATCAACACATTCGCAAGCAAAAATTACCATATTCGTTAGTACAATCACCTCAGAGTTGGATTATGGGCATCTTCTACTATGTACATGCTAAATATTATTATAATATCGGGTTATTTTTGTAACTTAGTAATTCAAAAATATTTATGAGATATTCTCAAAATTGCGATAGTAACATAGTAAAAATTGATATGTTGCAAATTTTACTATAGATTATGGGAAAATTTGTGGATGAATATTTCAATAATTATTTTATATTGTAACAATTTTTACCATGATCAAAGCTTCTCGATTTCATCAACAGATGGAGTATGGTCAATTCCCGCAAATGGCAGAAAAACTTTCCAATTGGTATACATACAAATTCTATTACATTATTATGTTTCATATTTACTAGAGGCAAATGTTTGTTTGTAAAAATCGACGAGTAAAATAATTCCATGATAGCAGAAAGCAGGGTTAATTCAAAAACTTGGGGCTCTCAAGAAATCGAAAAATCATCTTGGGAGGCCAGAAAAATATTATTTTAAAATAATTCTACCAATCTAAAAATTGCTACATACCGCACCAAAAATTACTATGTTACATAACAAAAGTTAATATATATCGACTTTGCGGCCCTTTTCCTAGAGTACATAGCAATATTTGCTAGCGAGTGTGTTGATATTTAGTTTAGTATTTCTCTCCTTGTGCATTTTCAATAATAGTAACTTTAATCGCATAAAAACACACAATTCAAACTCTTGATCCTGACGCTTGTAAAGGAGCAAAAGATTTATTCATTCTTATCGGTTATAATACCGAACTGCTGCAGCTGCGCGAATAAAAGTTACAGCTGTATACTCGAGCAGGGAAAGATGTTATCTCGAAAAAAATCTGCTTTTTTTCTTCTTCTTCCTCGACTCGAAAAACATTAAACTCGTTCGTTATTATTTTCCTTTTTTTTTTCCTTAAGCAGCGAAAATTCAATCAATTCCTCGCTGTGGTCGTAAAAAAACCCTTTCGCTTATATATAATACAGGACGAGAGAGACTTTATCGTTTTCTGGATTTTAATGAAAATCGCAGTTCCGGCATTTTCATTCGAGAGAAAGACTTCACCTCCTTTTAAAAGGGTCATTTTAATTTTCCAATAAGATAGGAACATTGTCAGCGCGTTGTGTCTTCGTCCTCGTCGTCGTTCGGGGCCGCTTTTAATCCGATCTCTTATAATATACATGCGCTATTATATATAGTACGGCGCGCGCGCTAAAGACTTTATCGACGCCGGCCAATTCAGCGCAGGGGCTGCGCGTGCCAGACTGCGTGCGATTCGTTTAAAAATTTTTAATGCTTTTTCTGGAGCCACGTATAATCTTATCGAGGCTCTGCGGAGAAAGAAAGGAAGAAAGAAAGGAAGAAGGAGAGAGAGAGAGAAAAAAAAAAGGAGCGAAGGATATAATAGCATTTTTCGTTTATGAGACTGCGTGCGGGCGTCGTCGACGTCGTGTACTCGTGCGGCGATGCGTACGTACGCGAGCACGAAAAGTGATTCATATCGATCGAAAGCGTACGTAGCAATATCGGGAAATGCATTTCCTCCCCATAGAAAGAGAGAGAGAGGCGAAAAATGTTGCCGAGCGCGCGCATTCGTATATACGTACGTACGTACCTGCATTATTATACTGTACGTTATATGTCAAGGCATCAAAAAGCGTCGACTTTAAATGGCTTGCCATTAGCGAAAAAGCACTTGAGGACTCCGAGCGCGTGTTGTATTTTTGTTGACATTTCAATTTATAACGCGGAGAGGGATGGCGTGTGGCTGCGAATGTTATGTCTTGAATCGAGAAAAAAAATGAGAAAGAAGAAAACTGCAAAATTATTTCAATCATTCGGGCATATATATGATATAAGCGTTGAATAAAATTATGAGAATGCAGAGCAAAAAAAAAATCGTCGTCACGCGTATGAAAAGCCGCCGCACAATGATCCTCGTCGCGGTTTTAAAAAAGTCGCGCAGCTAGCGCGATCTCTTTCATTCGACAAAAAAAATAAAAAATAAAAAAATAAAAAAAGTGAAATCCCCAAGGATGCAATCGAACACAGAGAAAGAGAGAGAATCCCAGCTGCCGCGTGCCGCAGCGGTAGACGCGTGCATACATAATATATCCTGCGCAGCAGCAGCAGCAGATAATAATGGTCTTCCACGATATGAATTAGACTGCAGCGCGCAAAATATAAAAAAAAGAAAAGGAAATAAAGAAAGAAAATTTCAACCAAATGAATATATCGCTTTCTCTCTCTCTCTCTCTCTCTCGTATTCTCTTCCCACGCGCAAAAAAAAGGGAATAATTGCCGACTCGAGTTCTATTGCGCATATATAATGGTATATAGTCTTTTCATACTCGGATTTTTTTACCGCGGCTACTGCAGAAGGATTTTTGCGGCGCAACCCTCGGCGCTCTCTCATCGGTTCTCATTTTCGCGGTGGTACAGTGGTGCAATAATCCCGACGTACATAGGTCGACTCGGCTGCACACAGCGAAATCTTATGAGCTTTTATATTATATTTACCCCCCGTCCACGAGAGAGAGAGAGAGTACGAAGATCGCGAAAATTACCCATTTCGACTGCGGAGAGCGCGACGACGACGACGCGCCGTCGCGGTACAAAGAACGAAGAATAAAAAAAAAAGGAGATGTAGAGAGAGATGGAGAGGGAGGGCTATAAATTTCTGCTGATAATAAATAGTCAAGTCTGAGAGCATCGAGTACATATAATAATTTTATATATGACACACGCGACTCGACGACGACGAGAGCTGCAGCGTATAGCGGAGAGTGATGTGCTCTTCGCGCGGTAAGCACCATCGACCGTTCGTCGTCGTCGTCGTCGAGCCTTTCATCATTCGCGGCTCTTCCGGTTGCTCGTATATCATTATTATATATTATATAATATATACGATGTATAATATGTAATTATAAATAAATTTATATACTTATGTATGCGTATACTTGGCTGCGCGCACGGCTCTTTTTTTTTCTCGCCTGCATCCCCTCCTTCCAGCAGCGGCAGCAGCAGCACTTGGCGCGCACGATGCACCCTCGAAAAAGGGCCTCTCTTGCACAAATTATATTTCGCTCGATTAATGCACGTTCGCGTAGTCGTCGTCGTCGTCGTAGTCGATCAGGCGTATACGTGTATATAAACTCGAGTACCTGCACTGGCACACGGAGCTGCTGCTGCTGCTGCTGCTTCTCATCGTACTAGGGACATGTAAAATACATTGAATCACACACGCACACACACATAAGTGCAAGGGCTGCACAGGTGTATACATGCGCTTCCGCC